AACTTTTTTTTTTCCATCTTATCATTGTTGGACATTTAAGTGGATTCCATACCATTGTTATTGTGAATAGTGCTGCAGTGGACGTACGTGTGAATGTGTCTTTTTAATAGAACAATTTATATTCCTTTAGGTATATATACCCAGTAATGGGATTGCTAGGTTGAATGGTATTTCAGTTTTTAGGTCTTTGAGATATCACTACACTCTGTTCCACAATAGATGAACTAATTTACACTCCCACCAACAATGTATATGCATTCCTTTTTCTCCACATACTCGCCAGCATCTGTTAGTTTTTGACTTTGTGATACTAACCATTCTAACTGGTGTGAGATGGTATCTCATGGTTTTGATTTGCATTCCTCTAATGATCAGTGATGTTGAGGTTTTTTTCATATGATTTTTGGTTGATGTATGTCTTCTTTTGAAAAGTGTCTGTTCATCTCCTTTGTCCACTTTCTAATGAGGTTGATGTTTTTCCTGTAAATTGGTTTACGTTTCTTATAGATGGAATATTATGCAGCCATAAAAAAGAATGAGATGTCCTTTGCAGGAACATAGATGGAGCTAGAGGCCGTTATCCTTAGCAAAGTAACACAGGAACAAAAAAACAAATACCACATGTTCTCACTTAAAAGTGGGAGCTAAGTGATGATAACACATGGACACATAGAGAGGAACAACCCACACTGGAGCCTATTGGAGGGGGAAGGGTGGGAAGAAGGAAAGTATCTGGAAAAACAACTAATGATTACTAGGCTTAATACCTGGGTGATTATATAATCTGTACAATAAGCCTGTATAATGTTTATACAAATTTACTTGTGTAATGAACCTGCACATATACCCTTGAACTTCAAATAAAAGTTTTTAGAAAACAAGAATGAGAAAACTTTCTCTGTACAACAAGGAAAGATTCCCAAGACATACTGTTAAGGACAAAAAGCAAGTTACAAGACAGGTTATATAATGTGCTACCTTTCATGTACATGCATATGAGAGGAGTAAGAACACGTATTCACATTTGTTTTCATTTACATAAAGAAACACTGGACGGATATATAAGAAGCTATTAACGAAGATATATAATAAAGAGCAGAGTTTCTACAGGGTAGACCAGTCAGGAGTGGAAAATAATACTACTCAACCTGCACCTTTCAGAATTTTTTTTCATGTTTTTAATTTACCTTTACTACCTATTTATTTGGTTCAGGAGTCCATTTCCTTCACTTTGAGACCAAGTAATCAGGCTTCAGACTTCTTTCTTCTGCCTGCCAAAGTCACTAACCTTATGACAGCCATAATTTAGGTTCGAAGAATACCAAAGTTCTTACTCAACTGTTTCCTTAGAAAAGAACAAACTGATAAAACATGTGGGCCCCTAAAATTTGAACATTATCTGTACGACTGAGTTAAAATGTGTTCTAAAAACATCTTCTAAAAATGTAAAAACAGCAGAGGAATGACCATTTGCTAAAAAAAATATGGCCGGAGGACACTATGCTAAAAAATATGTGTGGAAAAGCAGTATAGAGAGTGGTCTTCCTTCTCTACTCCTTCTATAATTTTGATTTCATTCTTGAGTTTTCATAATGGACTTTTGTAAAGAGGGGAGATTTGCATTCAGGTCTAAGATTACAAGTATTTTATGGCCACTTTGAACACAAGTATTTTTTTTACTAATCACTTCTGTGGTTCCCCTGCCCCAGACAAGAAGAAAAAAGAGAAATGGAAAGGGAAAGCTACGTTCAGGGCACGTAAGGGTTTTATCTAGCTTTAAGGGTTAAAAGAATTGACACAAAGTTTAAAAAGTTAAGCCACTTGTCAAAAAAAAATTAAATAAAATCATGTCTTTTGCAGAAACATGGATGCTGCAAAATGGAGGCCATTGTCCTAAGTGAAATAACTCAGAGACAAAAGTCAAATACTTAATGTTCTTATTCACAAGTCAGTGCTAAATACTGGGTATACATGGACACACAGAATGGAATAATAGACACTGGACACTGCAAAAGGTGGGAGGGTGGAAGAAAGATGAGGTTTGAAAAAAATACCTATTGGGTAAAATGCTCACTGTTAGTGTGTCAGATACACTAAACGTCCAGACGGCACCACTGCTCAACATATACATGTAGGAATCTGCACTTGACCCCCTAAATATATAAAAATTTTAAAATGAAATACTCAAAAATAAAAAGATATCTGGCATGGACAGTGAGATATGTCTATTAGTAGTTTAAGTTTCAGCTGCAGGACTGGTTAGCCTCACTGAGAATCCACACTGCAGGGGTGGTAGCCAGCAATGCATGAAAAAGTCCAAATTCTAGAAGCAGCTATGCCAAGGTATATTGATCTACACCTCATGTTATGCAAGTTACATTGGTGAGTAGTAGAAACGTTTTCATTAAACAAATTAGTTCTTTGGTAATTATGCTGGTAAATAATAAAAATAGATGTTATGGGTAAAATTGCAAGGTATTCAAAGTATATGGTTAACCAAAAAAATATGGAATCACTTCCCCTGTTTAAAAACAGAGCATAGTAATTCAGTCAGAAGAGTAGTCTCTATGTTAGGAAAGGAACTGGAGACTATTTGGTCCTGCCATTAGTTTCTGAAAAGGGATAGTTACCTGATGATGATGATAAGAGTAACAGAATCCTACCTCTGGAAGGATGTGTGTGTTGTGTGGACCTTTTCAGGCAAGCTGATGGAGTATCACAAAGAAAGTGAGGAACTGCAAATTTACAGAACATGAAAAGGAAATAGTGTGTGCCTGCTTACAAATAAAGGAGTTTTTTGTTTTTTAAATAAACATTGTTTATGTGGCAAAATTTGGTCTATAATTGGTTCTCAATGTAATTCTGATTGAAAGGTTCTGAGTGGAGCTAACTGTCACAGGGCATTACATAGTTCAGTAGCTCTTATTGCCTCCAAAAAGAGCCCAAGAGTTAGACATAATCAAATTGGCTTGAGTCAGTTTTCAATGCTTAGGAATAACTTTTAGTGGCTACTTTTAGCACTTTAGCTGACCAAGAGAAGAGAGATTTGAGGAAAGGGACCAATTTTTGATGCTACTTAGAGAATGAAGCCAGTGTCTTAAGGCATGTATCCCCAATGTGTACCAGAGCCCCCACTAAAAAGGTTACCTTTCTTCAACAAATGTGCAGAGTTGAAGATGGGAAATTTAAGGGAGGTTACTGAAAAAAAAAAGATGTTATTAAATGAGAATATGGATTTGAGGTGATAACAGTAAAGTGCTTTGGAAGCACTTTTGAGAAGCTCGTTTTTGTAGGAGGAATATCAATACCTGGGAAAGTTGCATTAAATAAATAATGCTGTCAAAAGCACACCAGGAGCATAGATGCGCTATGAACACAGAGACACAGAGCTGAATTAATGAGGACATCTTGTATTAAATCATTTGAAAACCTGGAGGCCATTTGTCACTGAAATGCGACTAAATATACATTTTATATACTGTATAATGCTCACTTTCAGATAGAGTGTATTACAATGTGAATATATACACCATGTGGATGGATATATTTTTCTCTGCCTAATTCCCTGTGGGGATATGTGCTATCAGAAGGATGCACCCTTAGATGCTGGGTAGGGAGGGCAGAACAATTATAGGCCTCCTGCAAATGGCACCTGGCAAACTGCTAAAGAATTCATACTCATGGGAAGGCCAGAGGGCTTTTTGGAATGTGGAAACACTTTAACTCACTCCCTCCTCTCCAGGGTCCATCAGTACACTGTTGCCAGCTTCATCTTCTTCAATCCCCAAATTTATCATATCTGTCTCCGATATATAACCCTTAAAAAGTATTTATTTCTCACAGATGAAATCCAAATACCTACACTTGGCAGTTCAGACCTTGCAGGGTATAGCCTATGGAAAGAAATCCTGCTTCGAATAAGCTGGGGATTTTCATGTTTGCTACACTTACCTTAAACTAGATTGGCTGTGCTTTTCTCAAGCTTTTTCACTCTGTTTGCGTTGCCAAATTTTATTCTGAAAAGAATCAAAGGTTTTGTGTTTGGGGGAAAAAAAGGGTGGGGCTCTGTTCCCAGTTGATTCTGTAGGTAGTTCTAGGGAAAAAAGAAAGAGCACAACGATAAAGCCTTCCTTTCCATGAGAAAAGATTGCTTGCCCACAAACTCTGTCTAGGCATTCATAAGCAATTTACATAATCAACGTGGATTCCAAGTATCTCTGCACTTGACTGCATTAGATAAAAACAGTTTGTGCAATATAAATTAACTTGGCTCTCCCAACTTCCTATTTATAGTTAAGGAAACGCTCTCTTACCTTAAATGGAAAGAGGGTGTTCTAGGAGCAGAAACTTGTATCAATGTGCCAAGACAGTAACACTGCAACTTGCCCCTTCTGAAATTATTACTTCTCCAGGCCTTCATTTCACCACTGGAGTGAGAGGCATCTAAGGAAAGTATTAAAAGAAATAAATGTCCAAAGAGTGGAGCAAAAGAGATTGATGTAAGCCCAAGTGCAAAGGAGTCTGGCCCTGTGCCCCATGCCTGATGCCAGTCATCCCATCTGTGGCCAGGCCAAATTAAGGTAGGATAAAAAAAAAATCCGTGTTCCAAAATATGTGCCTATCAATGCTTCTCTTTCTTTATTTTTCTAGTGAAAGATGAATTGCAACCTTTGACTAACATGACGACATTTTTTTCCATATCTGAGACAAGTTTAACTGGGGAATGGTCCATTTGTGGAGGCTGCCTATGGTGAGATTAGCAGAAGAGGTAACTTAGAGACCCGGAATGAGTGTAGGAAACAGAGGTAGAGAGAAATGAAAATGAACGGCATCTCACCCTTTACTTTCCCAGCCAATTGGTTGGAATGCACACCTGGTCAGGGTTACGCTGAAGAGCATACCTGAGTTCTGTCTCTCTATTTTCATTTAGTACTTTCAATTTGTTTCCTAAAATCTTGGGTTAGTTTCACATGCCCTTTTCTTCTCTCCTACCCTCTTAGGAGTCTCAGTAAACATCAGGCACTCAGTGTTCTCCAGACTGCAGTGGTGGTGGAGGCAGAGAGGACTGTGTTTGGAGGAGTAAGTGTCCACTCTCATGCTATTTTATTTCTCAGGCCCTTTTTAATGGCCTTCTTAGTAGTAAGAGCTGGGAGGGTACAATTTGGTGATAGATGCAACTTTTGCCTTTGAGAGGTGAGGTGAAGTGAGGCCTGAGTAAAGATTCACCAGTTTAGGAAGACATTGCAGTTTGTTTCTATTTGTTCAATTCAGTTTACTAGATTAGAGAAGAAGATAGAGACTTCAAGCAAGGCCTGGCACATAAATAAATCTTTCCTTAGCTAGACAGTCAATCATTAAAATCTCTCTTGAGAATGTAAAACTTTCACTTACTTTCTTTCTACTTGCCCCCACCATAAAAAAAATTAAATAAAATAAAGAGTTGCTAATTTTGTGGGTCAGAAGATTCTAGAATATTGAATGGATCATGTTTTCTACTGAGTGGAGTTACTCTTCCCTCTGTTTTCCGTTCTAGTACACTTACTCCAAAGAGATAATGTTTTGAGCTTCCTCTCTCCCTCTCCCTCACATCTCTTTTTCTCTCTGGGAGAAGAGGCATGACTGATTAATGTATAATACATAGTGCCAAATAAAGTGAATAATTGCTTTAGGTCAGTGGTTCTCAGACCTTGGAAAGTCCTGAATGAGTAAGTTTTTCAGGGACTTATATAAGCTTGATGATATTATTTGCCAAGATCAATACATAGCTTTACATAAATAAACATAAGTACACATACTACCTATCATCATCACAGTTTGATAAAACAGAGGATACTTTATCATCAGAAATGTAATCACATGTTTTGGGTTTTAAAAATAACGAAATTGGCTTTTAAAGAGCCGTATTGTGAAATTTCTCCTGGTCAGACGAGGATTTCATAATTTGTGTAGTAGAAGATCAAAAAAGGGAAAGTTTACTATTCACTGATGTTGAGCTGCTAATTTAAGCCTAACTCTGGATCATGTTTGGCTTGGAGACCTGAATGAAAGAAGAAGTGCTGATCATGTCAAAGCTCTCTGTATAATTAGTAACAGTTATATTGAAGCATCATTGCCATATAACAAACTACTCCCGTTTAAAAGGTACATTTTAGTAAGTACACTTTGACGTGTCTATGTACCTGTGAAACAGCATCTCAATTAAGATAGCAAACTCTCCATTAATTCAAAAAATTTGTTTGTGCTCTATTGCAGTCTCTTCATTTAGTGCTTCCCATAGTCCCAGGCAATCACAGGGTTTTTTTTTTTTTTTACTATAGATTAGATTGCATCTTCAAGATATTTATATCAGTAAAATTGCCCAGTATATATAGTATACACTCTTGTGGGGGGATTGCTTGGCTTCTTTCACTCAGCATACTTATTTTGGATTTATTTATGTTGTAGTATATACTAATAGTTCTGTTTTATGTTGCTGAATAATATTCCATTACATAGATTCACCACATCTTGTTTGTACATTCATTTGTTAATGGTCCTTGGGTTGTTTCCAGATTTTGGCTATCACTAACAAAGCTGCTATGAACATGCATGTACACATCTTTGTATAATGTGCTTTTTTCCTCTTGGATAAATACCTAAGAGCAGAATGGCTGGATTGCATAGTAGCCATATGTTTATGCGTACAAAGCGTTTCTACCGTTTTACATGCTGACCAGCAGCGTATAATAGTGTTCTTTTACTCTTTTTATTTCCAAATTTGGTATGGTAATTTTTTTTTCAGTTTTATCCATTCTAATAGATGTATACGTGTATTTATTATCATTTCAATCTTCATTTCTTTGTAAGTAATTATATTGAAACCTTTTTGTTTGTTTGTTTGGAGATGGAGTTTCGCTCTTGTTGCCCAGGCTGGGCAGTGGCGTGATCTCGGCTCACTGCATCCTTCACCTCCCGGATTCAAGTGATTCTCCTGCCTCAGCCTCTCCCAGTAGCTGGGATTACAGGTAAGCACCACCATGCCCGGCTAATGAACATTTTTACGTATGTTTATTTGCCATGCATGTATCATCCTTGGTAAAGTGACTGTTAAATCCTTGACAACTTTTTCAAATTGGATTGTTTGTGTCCTTATTATTGAGTTTTGAGTGAACTTTATATATCCCTGATAAGAGATATTTTTAAAATCAGATATATGTTTACATGTGTATTCTCCCAATCTGTAGCTTATCTTTTTATCCTTTTACGAATTTCTTTCAAAGATAACTAATTGACAAGTTTGTTTTTTAATGTCTTATCTGCTGGTGTCTTATCTAACATCTCTTTGCTTAATCCACATCACAAAATATTGTCTTATGTTTTCTTCTAGAATTTTATGATTTTACTTTTTATATTTACATCTATGACGCATCTTATTTAATTTTTATATAGTTTAAAAGGTATAGACTGAAGTTCATTTTTTTGCATGGAAGGTTTAATTATTCTAGTATCATTTGTTGAAAAGAGTTTTCTTCTCTTCTAAATTTACATAGTTATTTTTAAAAGTCAGTTGTACATACATGTGTAGGTGTGTTTCCGAATTTTCCATTCTGTTTCATTTATCTATTTGTCTGTCTTAATGGCAGTATCACACAATCTTAAAAATCTTGAACTCAGGTGAAGTTAGCCCTCCAAGTTTGTCCTTCTGTTTTAAAGCTTTTAAGGGATATTCTAGGACCTTTCCATTTTCTTATGAATTTTAGAATCATTGTGTCACAATTTATACAGAAAATGTCTGCTAGAATCTTGATTAGGAATATGTCAGTTCAATATTACAGGTCAATTTGGAGAATATTTAATATCTTAGCATTATTGAGTCTTCTGACTCATACAGAAGGTTGCTTCATTTATTTAGATTTTCTTAATTTTTATCAGCAATGTTTTATTATCTTCAGCATGCAGGATTATCACTTTTTTATTTTTTCTAAATATTTCAAATATGTTGAATTTATTATACATAGTTTTACTTTTAAGTTTCAAGTTCTGATTGCTTATTGCCAGTATATAGAAATCCAATTGAATTTTTAGGTAGCTATCTTGTATTCTGAAAATTTTCCAAATTTTCTTATTGGTTCTGGCAGCCTTTTAATGGATTCCAAATAGATAGATATGGTGTGTGAATAGATAGATAATAGATAAACAGGTCTCTAAATAGATACATAATATTGTGTGTGAATAAAGAGAGTTTTACTTCCTTGATTTCATTCCTGTTTCCTTCCATTTCTTTTTCCTACCTTATTGCACGGAATTGACCCTCCAGTACATCTTTGAATAGAAGTAAGGAAAGTAAACAACCTTGTCTTTTTTCTGATCTTAGAGGGAAAGTATTTACTTTACATTATGAAGTATGATATTGAGTGCTGATATTTTTGTATGTGCCCTTTATCAGGTTGAGGAATTTTTCCTACATTTCTGGTTTGCTATGTGGTTTTCTCAGGAATAGATGTTGAGATTTGTCAAATACTTTTTCTGTGTTTATTAAGACAATCATAATGGTTTTAAATCTATTAATATGGTAAGTTGTATTAATTGATTTTCATATTGCAATCAACCTTGCATTCCTAGGATAAACCTTACTTACTTTTAATCATAATATACTTTTTACATATTGTTATAATCAGATTATAAAATTTTCTTTGGAATTTTTTAGTTAATTTCGTGGGGATCTTGGTTTATAGTTTTCAATATAATAATGGCTTTGTCCAGTTTTGGTATCAAGGTTTTGTGGAATGAAAGGTGATCCTCAAAAGGATATATCTTCATTCTAATACCCAGATTTTATGAATAGCATCTATATGGTAAAAGAGTGAATAGCACCTTTTATGGGAAAAGATGATTAAGTTAAAGATCTTTAGAAGTGATGCTTATCTAGGATTATCTGGTTTGCTATAAATCCAGTGATGAGTTTCTTCATAACACAGAGGCAAAGGAATATTTGAGACATACAGAAAAGGTGAAGGCAGAGACAAAAAAAAAAAAAGAAGAAGAAGAAAGCAAAGCCATCACAGAGGCAGAGATTGAAGGGATGTGGTCACAAGCCAAGGAAAACTTGGGAACACCATAATTAGAATTGAGATTTCAGGAAAGACACTAGATAATGAATCAGAAAATAAAATGAAGTTGTTGCAAGAAAAATCAAGCACCTTGGATAGGGTAATGATGAACTAGAGAATCCTTCTGACATGTGACTGTAATCATCACCCCACTAAGAAGAGAGGCATACTGTGGACATTATCCCTAGGGATTGTGGAAGACCCACAGAAAAGCCTAGACCCGAAATTAGAAAAAAATATCCATAGGATTTTTCCACAATACTTTTATAATTGATTTCATTCACCAATTATTTCTGTCTACGTATTGGAGTTTGCTAAGTGGTTGACATGTGAGGTTTAAAAGACAATTAACTAAGAAAATGGAATTCAATTGACAAAGTTTTAAGTATTCTATAATGAAGTCTTTTATGAGAGTATGAAATGTATTTCATGAAAAGAAATAAAAACTTTGAAATTAACCATTTCTTCAAAAATCAATGGTCACTCTGAAATTGATTGTTTAGGGTCTTTCTTTGGTCTTATATATGCTATAGTCTATGGTTGATTAAGCCAAGACCTTGCCTTTTTCACGTGTTCTTAAATATTTGTCTACTAGAATACAAACATGTCATGATAGACTAATGTAAATGGAAAGCTTCACCTTGCCAAATGGATTCATTGCATGTAAATTGCTACCCCTGAATTCTTATAACTGATTTTAATTCTCTGAAAAAAATCCTGGCTTCATAGTTTAAAAATGATAAGCTCCTAGAAACATTAATTTTAGTTTCTTTTTTTCTCAGCTAATTGAGTCAAATGACCCAAGTGTAAAATTTGCCAGCAGCATTGATTTTATTTAATATAAAAAGCTTTCTTATCTACAGAGAACAGCAAAGAAAGCCTTGGGTATGCACATTTGTCTATGAAGCAGCAGTATCTTCACAGGCCTTGGCCTTTGGGGTGAAAAAAACGCAAAGAACAAAGAATAGTCGTCTTGAATTTTGAGTAGATACACATTTAGTTGCAGTTGTAGATTACCTACAGGCAATGTGTCTATAATTCTTTCCCGTTTTATATTCTAATTTGTCCTCCTGGGATTAAAATAAGAACGGATTAATGAACATTTTCAGGGAAAAAGACCAGACATACCCACTTAGCATCTTTCTTTGACATCTCACATAACCTCTCAGCATCTTCCTCATATTTCCTGTTTAATTTAACGTGGTAATTTTTATTAAGGACAAAACCCACTAGAGAAAAATGTAAATAAAAAGTCAGAGCTCTATCTACTTTGTTATAAAGCCATTTTTATGATTTATTGTTTTTTGAGGGCATTCTATTCTCTCGAAATTTAGTGTTTAAGTTTTGTCTGTCTCCATAGAGAACAAATACCCTGCATTCATCTCTACAAATGTTTATTAAGTGCCTATGTGTACCAGACATGTGCAAAATTCTGCAAATACTAAGATAAATAAGACGTAATTCATTTCTTCAAGAAGTGCTCATCCCAGTTGAGGTGACAGATATGTTTACCATTAACAAAATACAGAATAGAAAGAGCAGTGTATGTAGTGTGAAAATTACTGTGGAATCTCAAAGAAAGAAACACTTTTCCTTTGCAATCTTTGTATTGCAGTTCACCACCACTTAACAACAACAACACGAAATCTCATGAGTAATGAACTTGAATGTAAAAGACGGCTTCAGAGACAGTGAGTGGATATTTCACAATTTGCCCTGGGAAGGTACCCTAAGTTTGATTTATCCATATTTTGAAAATACAGCCAGCCAGCACAGCCTTGACAGATGCTATAGAGCAAGCACAGTGGGAATCTGAAGTCAGCCTCAATTCTAGGCTGAAACATGTTTTTTTTCTCTTGACACATCTTTGCACCTGCATAACTTGGTGCAATTTTAGAAAATTTATTATCTGGACATTATCAGTTTTGCTCTGAGAAGAAGTTTACTGTGAGTTTTTGAGAGAAGAAGATATCGCAATTGATGACAAATGACTAAAGAGAAGATTTTAATCTACTTTATTTGTTTCTTATATATCCTTTGGAGATGGTTACAGAAGTCAAAATGCAGGTGAGCAAACGTACTTTTTGGTGTTCCTTTAGTTTTATTGATTTTTAAAGAAACAGACAAGAAAGGAAAACATGGCTAGCTAATGAATTATTTGTTTCTTAGGTATACTTCTATATACTGCATTTAACCTATTTAAATGCATCTAATTTAGATTTAAAATAACAGAGCAATTTGTCCTCTATTTATATGGGATTTATTGATGAGTGGAGTTTTACATAGTTTTGGAAGGCATTAGAGTAAGGATTCAGGGTATAACGGCTTTTATAATAACAAATGCTCAATACCTTACAATGATTGATATTTCTGTGGTTGAAACAGCAGTAACAGCAGAAGGTTTTTACAAGAATTCCATTTTAGCTTCATTAGAGACCCCCAAATTATTAGAAAGTGATAACAACTGCTTCTGCAATTGTTATAAAACAGATTATTCTAGCAGTTCTCTTTATTTTAACAATTTACTTTAAAAGAATTTCAAATTCACAGAAAATCTGCAATAGAACAAAGAGCCTCTATATGCCCTTTACATAGTTTCCCTCAATGTTAACATCTGCCAGATTTGCCTTAGTGTTTTCTCTGTATATTGCACTTTTTCTCTACCATGTGAGAGTGAGCTATGGGCATGACACACTATTAGCCCTCAGTGCTTCAATGTATACTTGCTAAAAAGAGAGACATTTTCTTCATAATGAGAGTACAACCATCAAAATAAAAAAATTATCAAACCAATGTTACCATCTTTTCAACTGACCCCGTTCAAAGTTTACCA